AAATTCAGCTACGTTATTAACGTAGCTGAATTTGCGTACCTTAGTCCGAAGTCTGGACTAAATGGGGACCAGCCCTTACACTCCTTCCATGGCTTCATTCACCTCCTCAGTGTGGCTGGGCAATAGGTACAGCCAGACATTAAATTTTGTTGTTCGGATCCTAAACATCTCAGTGCAAGATACCTCGGGAGTCTTATATTTTATTTTTTTAAAAGCGTACTTTAGATATGGAGAAAAATATACATTCCATAAAGAAACACAATCCAAACAACTATTGAACATACATCATCATCATCAAACCCTTCTGTCAACATTCTGTGTGCTGCTAACTGTCCATCCATATCTCCAATACAGCGATGGTAGCGTCCTCCTGTTTGAGAGGCCAGCTTCTTCAGAAATTCATTAGCTCTTCTGTTGACAATAAAGCAGTAAATTACCAGTAATTATTGCTCCTGAGCATTAATAGAGCCTTTCTGACAGGGACTCTTGTATTTCTAAGCATGCAGTTTGGGGAGTAAGCTTACAAATATCTAGATCATTTCTAGAGTCTTTTCCAGCTATGGGGGATATATAAATTATATAATAATACTTAGTGATCATAAACTCCAAAGGCTGGTTACTTTTAACCAACAGTTATAGGGACAGCATAGCAATAAGCACTGGAACCCAGACTTCTAGGCAGAAATGTGGATTTACATACTGGAGAAAAAAATCACGGGTACAATAAGTAACTTAAATGACTTACAATGGCAATAAAGTAATAGATCTCTATCTCTAGGTCCAGATTCTCCACGAATGTCAATTGTCAAAACTCTATTGAAGTCAATGGAGCTATGACAATTTACACAAATTGAGGAGCTGGCCCCTGAAGTCTACAGCTACACCAAAAAGGAAGACACTGAGATTCAATTTCAGTGCAAGTTAGGGTCAGAAAAGTGATATTAAATATGACATTTGTGTCCTTTATTAGTAGTATATGTTACACATTAAGAGACTTGCTCAGTTTACAACACAAGGTTTGTTTTTAAACAGCCATAATTGCTGCCTTAAACTATTATCTGAATCTGTAAATCAAAGTATGTGTTAAGTCACCACAACACAGTGTTCCATATATCCAGAGTTTCAGGAAAACAAGGAATGCAAAACATGACTGTGATGCTGGCAGGCCAGGCACAAGCTAATGCTACGGTATCCATGTCTCAACTGGACACTAACAGATACATAACTGGAATCTATCTGCCTCACTTGTGGGTTAATATTGATAAAATAGGTTATTAGAATTATAAGAGAGTTTAGTATTTGGACTTTATTGAATGCTTGAGTTGCTGCATCCATTAATCTTGCTTGTTAATATGTGTTCCATATTGTAATGTAATATATGAGACTCCATTGTGAGCCTCTATGACTGTGAATCATTACACACTAATTATAGTCTGGTCTACACTAGAAAATTAAGTCGGCTTAACTATGTTGCTCAGGAATGTGAAAAATCCACACACCTAAGTGCATAGTTAAACCGACCTAACCATCAGAGTAGACAGCACTACGTCAATAGAAAAATTCTTCCATTGACCTAGCTACCGCCTCTTGGGAAGGTGTATTACCTACACCGATGAGAGAATCCCTCCCATCAGCATAGGTAGCGTCTACAGACTTATTACTGTTCTGCTCTACTCCCATTAGCTGAGTTGGCAGCTCAGAGCACACGGCAGGAGGGGGATAAAAATCCAAACAAAAGGAACTAGGTATCTCTATGCTGCTTGAACTCTGGGGGTGCAAGGTGTTTCTAGGCATAAGCAAGAGATCCTTAGCTGTTTAGCCTAGGTTAGCCCTAAAGGACAAATAGAGCTTGCTGATTATAGAAGTCTTTATTACTTTTTGAAACCTAAGACTAACTCATTTGTGTGTCTGCTTGCTTACTTATAAATAGCTCTCCAATTTCCTTTTCCTATTTAATAAATCTTCATATAGTTTACTATAGGATTAGTTACAAGCACTGTGGGTGTCAGACCTAAAGCACAATTGACCCGTGGTGACTATTCCTCTGGGATCAGGAGTAACCTGAATATTACTGTGCTTAGTGTAAAAGGCCAGCTACCACAGAGCTATGCTCACCTATGTGGCAAGACAGACCTGAGTCTGCAAGGAGTCTCTGTCTGTGACTCCATTTAAGACTGTTAAAGTGCCTGAGGAATTTGCAGTTGGCTGATGAAATCTAAGTTTAGAACTCAACCAATTAGGAGTTTGTTCCCTGGTTTTTAACAGTCTACCCTGATGTGGGTACTCATGCTTTTGTGTTACCGTTGGGAGCATTACAATGACAATACGTAAACTAGTATTTTAACGAATTTCATACTCTTCTGTAAAGTAATATATACCTGTCTGAACAGTTAAAAGAAATGGTGTGGATTTTAATAGTTTGTTTCTTTCTAATCTTTTCAACTTCTTTTAGAATGAGACTGCAGCTGGTATCTGGCTTTCCATCGGTCAGAACATACAGTGCCTCTAGATCTTGAAAACAGAAAGCTTTCTGAAAAAGCAGAAAATGAATTTAAACATTGGGGTACCATTTAAACAGCATTTTCACTTTATTGTAATGTTTTCTAAATCCTGTTTACTTCGGTAACTACACACAAATCATATCAAGATGCGCAGAATAGAAAATGACTATATTGAATATGAAAAGGATCTTAATTACTGTTTAGAAAGGATACATCTTTTTTCTAAATTGAGAGAATGTTCATAAAACAATAAACCCAGGGAAAGATAATCTTCCAAGACTGTCTCAGTGAATTAGACTAGGTAGGCAGACTAGTTGGTCCTGATTTTGAAAGCTGCTGACTTGAACTGGGCAGGTAAGACTTTATTGACTTCAGTTGAACTTGTAGGGACTCAACCTCTGAAAATCAGAGTATTATGACTTGGCAGGTATTTCACTATCTAAAGATTTGTGTACACTAAGAAAACTTGTACTGGGACGATGAGACAGATCACATTCCACTAGATCCAGTGCAGCCTTTACCTAAGAATTGCCTCCAACTGGGAGTTTTGTAAGGCTATCTGGAGTTAGATTTACATTTAGCCAGCAATACTCTCTTGACTTGTTTTCTAGAACTGATTCCAAATTAGGGATTGTAGGATCCCTAATTAGCCCTCTATATATTCACCTCTTAAGAGTTAATCTTCCATAGTATTCTGGCAATTCTCACAAGAGAAAGAAGGGATACTTATTAGTTACTATACTTCAAGTGATTGCCCATATAGATTCACACTTCTCATCTACTTTTTCCACTTCTTTGAAGCCTTTAGGTGAAGATTTGATTATGTGGAAAAAGGAAGCTGAGTGGATACGGCACTTTATATATTGTCATGTGTGTCAGTTTGGATCCACAAAGGAGCATGCACATGGCCTCAATGACCTAGGGGGCTCCAACTTGTCCCCAAGCACATGTAATATCCCAAACAAGTGGCGTTACAAGGGCTCTCATCTTGAAGAACTAGTTACGGGCATGTTCTCTCTTTTTTCTAAACTTTGGTTGAATGTGCAGAGGGTTAGTGGACAGCTGCATTAATCTAAAAGAATGAAACATTTTAGGTTTTTACTGACTCCAATACTAATGATGGTTCCAAACACCTCTGAATTTTGGGATAAGGACTGGATCCAAATGTGGCTTGATCCCAGTGTTTTGTGCTAAATTAGCACTTAACTGACATTAACGCTGGAAAATAATTTGGTTATGTAGAGCAATGTTTTTATTATCATAATACACATTATTTTGCCACAGTATGATATACAGTTAACTAACCTGCAAAGCCTTAAGGACACATGTATTGCCATGAGCTTGGAATTTTGACACCCATTGTACAGCATCATGACATGTTTCATCTGTAGCCTCTACAAGAAACTCCTGCCAAGTGTCTATATCTTCTGCAAATTTCAGCAGGTTAAACCTGGCAAGAAAGTTGTAATTCTGTTATTGACAATGCCAATATCAGCATCCTAATACACAATTATATTTTAGTGTCAAATGTCAACACCTATGTGTTCTATTTTCTATATTTAGGTTAAGTTTGGGAGGAATAATACTCTTGTGGGTAAGGTACAGGATTGGGACTGAGGAGACCTGAGTTCAGTTCCTATATCTGCCATAGACGCACTATGTGACCATGGGTAAATTACTTAATCTCTTTATCCCTTAGTTCTCCTCACCTACAAAAAGTATCCATGAAAACTATATGTTACAGTATTTCCTTTCTCAGAATCTATTTAGATTGTCAGCATATTAGTGCAGGTATCATCTCTTACAGTGTGTTTGCAAAGTACCTTGCGCAGTGGGGCCCTGAACTCACTTGGGGCCGCTAGCTGCTACTGTAATACAAATAAATAATAATAAATTGGAAGTTCATTCCACCTGAGTGGTTCTTATACTTTACTGTTACTTTCAGTCCCCAACGGCTGCCATCTTGCTGGCCTACAGCTTTTCACTGTTTCCCAGCTGATGATAGCTAGCATCTGGACTGCACTTCATTGAGTTGGACTTCCCATGCGCATGCTTTCCACTGAGTTTCCTGGCGGGTACTCCCTTCTCTCTCTCTCTCTCTCTTCTGAGTCCTGAGTTGTGTTTTTCCTTCTATCAGAGAACAGCTCACAATACTTATTCAAATGGTGCCATCTGAAAGATTGCAAACTAACTGGACTGTCCAAGTCTATTCTGAGGCACAGGCTCCCTCTCATGCTAGCACTATTTTAAAAAGCAATGCCCATATATGTTCTGTATACTGAGACCTGTTCAGCCTCTATTAACTGAATGGGTAATTTTTTAAAAAAGTTTGGCTAATCAAGGTTTTTGATCAAATTACACTGGGGTCTACAATTTTTGAG